GGTCCCTCTGGACTGGGAGAGGCCTGTCTCATCTCCAGGTCCCTGCAGTGCTCAGCACGGAGTGTGGCACCCAGGGGGCTTGGGAAAACATTCGCTAGATGAGTGACAGAAGGAAGGACTGAGAAAGAGTGAGGGAGAGACAGAAAGGGAGGAGGAGAGAGAGAGCCAGATGGTGACCGTGGTGGAGGATGACAAGGAGGCGGAGACAAGGACATAAACTAGAGACAGGAGGATGAAGGGGAGATGCCCAGAGGGAGAGGAAGAGGAGAACATGGTGAGGCAGGTTTGCATGCACTTCCTCTGTCCCTTCAGGAGGTGATGGCAGCAACTGTGACAATGACACCAGCCAGGATGGAGTGCCTTCCACACCCTCAGCCGTCCTTCATTCAGCCCAGCAGCCCTGTGCTGCAGTCACTGCGCCCCTTTGCCAGAGGAGTGAACTGAGGACCAGAGAGGTTCAGAAGCCTCCCTGCCATCACACAGCAATCTTGTGAGATGGGAGCTGGTCCCCCACCCTTACCCTTGAGGATGAGGATGCTCAGGTTCAGAAAAGGGGAGGGTCCTTCCCAGGGGGTCACAGCCCAAGGGGCATCTGCCCTCTCCTGCCTGCCCTGGGAGTGGACCCCATCAGGATCCCTTCTCTTCATCTGGAGTGCAGCCCCGTCCCCAACCCCCTCCAGCCCCACCCCCCACCCCCACCCCCGCCATAGACAAACGCTGTTCTGGTGTCTGGTGTTTCCTCCCAGAAGGATGCAACTGGGAGCCAGGTTACCCTTCTCTGGGTTGTCATGACTTCGGCAGAAGGCGTGTTACCCACATCTAGAGGGTGGGGTCCACACATGCTGCTCACCACCCTGAAACACACAGGGGGGCCCCCACCATGAAGACTCACCCAGCCCCCAAATATCAGTGATACCAAGATTAAGAGAGCCTGTATTCTAGGGACTTCCTTCTTGGTATACCAGTGGTTAAGACTTCTCCTTCCCACGCAGGGGACTCAGGTTTGATCCCTGGTCAGGGAGCTAAAATCCCACATGCCTCATGACCCCCAAAAAAACAAAACATAAAAAAAACCAGAAGCAATATTGTAACAAATTCCATGAAGACTTTTAAAAAATGATCCACATAAAAAAAAAAAAAAACTTAAAAAAAAAGCGCCTATTCTAGAGGAATAGGATGGACATATAAACTTGGGTGTTACATTTTTGCATTATGTACTCTGTTTCCCTTCCAGAATGCCACACATCTGTGTCATCAATGTCAGTCTTTTAACGGCTGCCCATCAATGCAATAATGTGTTGAACCAGCCCCTTGTGGAGTATTTAGTTTGTCCTCTGAGCACTGCAGCCAACATTACATTGATGATCCAGTCCCTTAGATGTTGGGCGTGTACAATAATACTTTTGCAGGAGAAAATTCTGGATATGAACTTTCAAGGTCAAGGGTCCTGTACATAGTTTTCAGGAGTAATGCCACCTTGTCCTCCATAGAAAGGGGACTGATTTCACTCTGTCAACAACTGTCATTGCCAACCTGGTGCATTCCCGGGTCCTATGAACTTTGCCCATTTGATGGATGAAAAGATGATACCTGTGGCCATCAGAATTTTTATTTCACTTGTCAGGGCTGAAATGGAGCATCTTCCATACCCCTGAGACTTCTAAGCATCATCTTCAGGGAGCTTCAGGTCTTGACTGTGAACCCCCTAGCACAACAGTGACACTCTGTGAATAATAATAAAAATCAGTAGTCAGAATGACCATCATTAAAAAAAAAAAACTACAAATAATAAATGTTGAAGAGGGTGTGGAGAAAAGAGAACCCCTTCACGCTATTGGGGGGAATGTAAACTGGGGCAGCCACCTTGGAAAACAGTCTGGAGTTTCCTCAAAAGAATAAAGAACAACCATGTGATCCAGCAATTCCACTCCTCAGGAAATAGCCAAAGAAAACAAAAAACACTAATCTGAAAAGATATGTGCACACAATATGTATAGTACCATATTTACAATAGTCAAGATATGGTAGCAACCTAAGAGTCCATCAACACATGAACGGATAAAGAAGATGAAGATATATATAAATTCGTGTATATGTATGTGTGCTTAATCACTCAGTCGTGTCCGACTCTTTGTGACCCTTTGGATTTGCAGCCCCCCAGGATCCTCTGCCCATGGGAATTTTCAGGCAAGAATACTGGAGTGGGTTGCTGTTTCCTTCTCCAGGGCATCTTCCCGACCCAGGGATCGAACCTGAGTCTCCTGTGTCTCCTGAATTGGCAGGCGGATTCTTTACCCATTGAGCCACTGGGGGAAACAAACAAAAAAATATATATATATATGACTACTACTCAGTCATAAAAAAAGAATGAAATTTTGCCTATTGCAACAACATGGATGGACCTAGAGGGTATTGCACTTAGTGAAATAAGTCAGACAGAGAAAGACAAATACTTTATGTTATCACTTATATGTGAAGCCTAAAAAATAAAACAAACAGATGAGTGTAACGAAAGAGAAACAGACTCAGATACAGAGAACAAGTAGTTCTCTAGTGGTTTCTTGTGGGAAGCAGGGGAGGGAAAAGGGGAGCGGCAAGATAGGGGTGGAGGGTTAAGAGATATAAACTACTATGTATAAAAGAAATAAGCTGCGAGATTATATTGTTCAGCCAGCGCAGGGAATATAACCAATATTTTATAACTTTAAATGGAGTATAATCTATAAAAACTTTGAATCACTATGTTGTACACTTGAAACTAATATAATATTGTAAATCAACTATACCTCAATGAAACAAACAAAACCACAAAACTCTGCCTTAGCAAAGCTTACATTCTGGAAGTGGGAGACGGGAGTGGGGAGGGGAAATGACTGGAAACAAACAAATGAACACACGACATAAAGGAATGGCAAAGGCCAGGGAGAAAAACCAAACCGGTGTGGCAGAGAGGGGGTGCATTGGGAGCAGGGGTTGCTTTGGATAGCAGGATCAACCAAGGCTGCTTAAGGGTGAGACCTGAACGCTAAGAAAGAGTCTTAGGCCAGTTTGATGAGAAGAGCCTTCCAGCAGAGGAAACAGCAAGTGCAAAGGCCCTGGGGTTGGAACGAGATGGGCTTGTTCAAGCAGCAGAGTGAACGGCAGAGCGGCTGGAGTTGAGCGAGCGAGTGAGGCAGGGCGGTAGCATCAGGCGGTTTGTGTGTTCCATGCTTGTTGATCTGAGGTTGGAGACAGAGGTGCAGGCCAGGAGACCGGGGCATTGGCTGCTGCCGTCAGAGCGGCCATCTAGGGGAGAGGTGACAGCCCAGAGCAAGAGGACACAGCAGAGATCCGTTCTGGAGGCCAAGCCAGCTGCTCCTGCAGACAGATTGGATGTTGGGGGGATCAGGGAGGAATAGAGGATTGGAAGGTTCCCAAGAGAAGGGAATGGCAACCCACTCCAATCTTCTTGCCCGGAGAACTCCATATGTGGAGGAGCCTGGTGGGCTACAATCCATGGGGTCGCAAGGGGTTGGACACGACTGAGCGGCTTACACTTTCGCTTTTCCTGCTTTTGCGGTAAAACAGCCCCTAGAGGGTGACTTCAATAACTCCTGCCTTCAAGTGCCCCAGACAGACAGTAGGCTCAGGGGAGGTTCTCTTGCCTCAGAGCCTGTAGGGGGCACAGGGACCGGAACACCTCATCTGGTGGACAGGAGACAGGACTGCGCCTAGTAAATGGATGCATAGTGGAACCAGGAGGAAAGAACTAACTACAGGTTTTGGGGGCGCCAGGGAGAGCCGGCACCTCCCAGGATCTCTCTTGTTCTTCTCAGTAACCTTGAGATGTAGAGATGACTCCATCTTACAGGGAAGACACCGAGATTCTGGGAAAAGAAGGGACTGGTCCAAGGTCATACAGCCAAGGAAGTGAAAAAATGAGCAGTGGGGCTTTTTCATCCCTAAACCTTGAGTCTCCACCTCCCAAGGTCAGGTCCCCCAGTCCCTCCCCATTCCCTTGTTATCCTGGGGATGAGGGATGCGGCGGGGGCGGGGGGGGGGTCGCGGGGAACCAAATGAAATTTCACCCCAGAGTCACTGTTATTCACGAAAGTAGACAGAGAAGCAGAACACTTTCCCACAAGAAGACGGGGATAGGGGGCTCCAATTCCTGGGTCTGGGGGCCCTGACGACTAGTGGACCAGATTCCAGGATCTGGGGGGCCTGGGAGCCCAGACTCCTGAGGGGCTAGGGGAGAAGGGGGCTGGGGACCAGGATTCCTGGGTCTGGGTAGGGGAGGGCACTGGGAACTCCAGTTCCTGGGCTTGGGAGAGGGGAGACTGGGGGAGCAGACTCCTGGGTCTGGAGGGGTTGGGTGCCGGCACTCCTGGGGCTGGGGCCAGGATTTCTGGGTCTGGGTTGGGGGGCTCTGGTTCCTGGCCTGGGGGAGCAGTGAGGACTAAGGGACCAGATTCTAGGGTCTAGGGGGGCTGGGAGTCAGAACTCCTGGGGCTAGGGGAGAAGGGGGCTGAGGACCAGGACTCCTGGGGTGTGGGTTGGGGGAGGGACTAGGGGCTCTGGTTCCTGGGTCTGGGGGCAGCGAGGACCGGGGGAACAGTCTCCAGGGTCTGGGGGGCCGGGATTTCTGGGTCTACAGGAGGAGGAGGCTGGAGCCTGAAGCAGGAGGAAGGTGGGCTCCAGGGAGTGTCCCGGCCAGGGGTCCTAGGTATCCGAGGCGGGGAAAGCCGCGGGGACGGCCGGGGCGGGAGGGGGTAGGGACCGGGCCGCAGTAACAAAGGCCTCTCCCTCCAACAAGCGCCCCCCCTCGGCCCCGCCTCCCCGGCCCCCCGCCTGCCCTGATTGGTCGGCCTTCCTGCCCGTCAGCGCCGCCCCCTCCCCGGGTCTGCAGCAGCTCCGGCCGCCTCGTCGCGCCCCCCCAGCCCCCTCCCCCCGCCCCCGCCGCCCCCCGGGCCGGTGCAGCCGCAGGCGGGGTCCCCCTCCCCCTCCCCCTCTCCCCCCAGGCCTCGCGCGCCCCGGACCGGCCCCCCCTTTCCCCTCCCCCTTCGCGCCGCCGCTGCCGCGATGCCCCCCCCTGCGCCCGGGGCCCGGCTCCGGCTTCTCGCCGCCGCCGCCCTGGCCGGCCTGGCCGTCATCAGCCGAGGTACCGCAGCGCCGGGGGCGGGGGGCTCGGCCGGGACTCCAGGGTCCCGGGCGGGGATTGGGGGCGGGGGACAGAGCATCCCCGGGCGGGGAGGAGGAGGCCCTCGGACGCCGAGGTCTGGGCCCGGGGGGGCGGGGGGCGGGGGCAGCATCCTCTGGCTGGGAGAGGGGTCCTCGGACGTCTGGCTCCATGCCCGGGGGCAGGGGTCCGCGTCCTGGGGCCCGAGCCTGGGCCTAGGGGCGGAGGTCTGCTTCTCCGGGTCGGCGAGAGGGTCGCGGACACCTGGTCCCGGCCTGGGGGCGGGAGTCTGCGGCTCGGGATCGTGGTGGGGGGGAGGGGGGAGGAGATCAGACGCTAAGTAAGGGTCCCCGGGCAGGATCTTTGAACTGAGTTGGTGGGGGGTAGGCAGAGGGATGCCCCGTCGGGGGTCTTCATCTCTGCCTGGGAAGGTCCCCTGGGGGTCCCGGCCTGTGGGCTGGGGTCGGCGTTTCTGGGGTAAGGTTGGGGGGATGATATCTTCCCAGGTTCCCAGGGTCAGTAAGAGGTGGGGGCAGGGGTGTCCAGAGACCTCCGTCCCAGGCCGGCAAAAGAAGGGGGTGGGGCTGGTCTCTCAGCTGGGAAGGGACTGAAATTCCCCAGCTGGGTCGTCTAGGTTGGGAGAAAGTGTTAGTATTTGGAGGGTTGCATTTATGTGTAAGGGAAGATGGGGCTGAAGATCCAAGAAGTTGGGGTGCTGGGCTGGGGACTCCAGATGTGGAAAGCCCTGGCTGAATATTTGGGTTCCAGGCAGGACAGAGGGTGACTGAGGACCGTGGGAGGGAAAGGGTTAACCCAGGGTCAAAGGGTTAATGTCAGTCTTCCTAGTTGAGGAGGGGGGCTGGGGGCTGGTCTTTTGTAGAGCTGAAAGGGAAGAATGGAAGGGGAGAGGCTGGGAGGCGGGTGGTGAACTTGGCAGTCTCTGCTTGAAAGATGTGTAGCTGGACCTTGTATCTCCCAGCAGACCCGCGACCTGGGGGTGGTCCAGGAGATGACCCCCTAAGGAGGGGAGGGGAGAGCTAGGAGGCTGGAGGCAGGGGCCGGGGTTCATTTAGTGCTTCTGGAGAATCACCCCAAGGCCCTGCCCTGACCCAGAATCACAGAGGCTGGGACACACAGTCGGGAACATCCTAGAACCGCCGACAGTCTCAGTGAGACAGCGGCTCTCAGCCTCCCACCCACAGCCACATAAACACCCGTCACCCGGTCCGACCCGGAGCCACACCTGCAGACAGCCAGAGTCACACTGGATGCTGGCGGCGGGGGCGGGGGGAGGGGATCACCCCCTCCCACCTGGCCCGTCTGAATCCCTGTCTGACTTTCTGCCTGCCTGTCTGTGTCTCTCTGTCTCTGTCGCCTGTCTCTCTCGGGCTCTCTCACGTCTTGGCCATTTCCAGAGGCTCCCTGGCTTGGGGTGACATCCCGTTGGTCTCCGTGGCTGGGTCGCCGGCTCTCCATTGCTGCTGGGCTTAGCATAATTCCACAGCTGGCCAGCTCGGCCTCTGGAACTCCTTGTCCCCGTCACACCCCGTGTGTCTCTGTCTCTTTCCAGCCCCTCACACGGTGCCTTGATCCTCACCTGCTTCTGGGAACTGACGTCCCATCCCAGGTTACTCATTCTCCTCCTTGTCCTTTGAAATGTCTCTGGCCTTCTCCCTTCACCTCTCCATTGTCCTCTCTCTCTTCCTTTACTCTCAAGATCACTTCCCACTTGCCTCTACTTTGACTCTTCAGAACCCTAGAAATCACTGTTGTTCACACATGCGGGGCTGGGAGCTCGGTGCTACCAGGAGGTGGTCTGTGACCTAGGTCAAGTCCATTCCCACCTCTGGGCCTTTTGTCCCCATCAGAGAACTGCGACCAGAGGGACAGAGAGCAGAGTGGCTGGCCGCTGAGCTGAGACAGGATTAGAGGGTTGGAAAGACAGCCCACCTACCCACCACCGCTTGCTTGACGGCTGAGGCTGAGAAAAAGCCAGTGGAAGTCACACCAGATTGCATCTCCTCCTCTCTTTCATTCATTTGATGGTTTCCAGATTACGGGAGGAGAGCATACCAGTGAACCATCCATTACAAGAATGCATAAAAGCAAACCCCGCCACGTCCCGCCCCCACCTTCCAGTCTCCAGAGAGAGCCAGAGTCCTCAGCCTCCCCAGTCGCCTCTCACTTGCACAGTCAGATGCCCAGAGTTCAGCATCTGTAAAGGATTGGTTAGTCTGTTGATGTTTCTCCCAAGATAGAAACAAAGTAAAGCCATTTCTCTGCAACTGGCTTTCTTCCACTTAACTCTACTTCCCTGGCATCTGTAGATATTGCTCTGTCTTTACTTTTTTTCCCCCTAAATTCTTTATGCCAACACACACACACACACATCCACACATCCACTTAGAAAAGTAGCTGCAGCTGGTGATTTGGGGGTGGTTCCTTTGCCGTATTAGATGAAGCAGGGGCAGGGTGAACACAGGCATGGGGACCCTTCTCTAGGGGGCCCCTCAAGCACCCAGTTTGTCTAGACTGTGGGCGCTGCCTTGTTATCTCACCTAACACGTATTTACTGGGTACACAGTCGCTGTTCTAAACACTGGGAATCTATAAACACAGCAGTGGATTCCCTGCCCTCCTGGAGCTTACATCCTAGTGGGATGGAGAGAGATCCACCAACCAAAACAAAACCTAAAAAGTAAACAGGTGATTTTAGAGAGTGATGAGCACAGAAGAAACGAGAATGACTCGGCAGGCAGACGACTTGGCCTTGGGAGCTCAGGTAACATCTGAGCCGCTGAGTGGAGTTCAGACTGAAAGGAGGGGAGGAGTCAGCCTTGGAAAGATCCCCCTGGGAACAGCAGAAGCAAAGGCCCTGCGGTGGGAAAGTGAAAGTGAAAGTCACTCAGTTGTGTCCAACTCTTTGCAACCCGAGGGACTATACAGTCCATGGAATTCTCCAGGCCAGAATACTGGAGTGGGTAGTCTTTCCCTTCTCCAGGGGATCTTCCCAACCCAGAGTTTGAACCCAGGCCTCCCACATTGCAGGTGGATTCTTTACCAGCTGAGCCACAAGGGACCTGTGGAAATGAACAGCCAGCACATGGAAAGTTTCAGGGCTCTAGGCTCAGCATACAGACACTGGACATCAGTGATAAGGATCTGGAAGGTCAGCCAAGAGGGATAGGGGTCTGGGGGCTCTGCAGTGGCAGTTAGACTAGCCCTTTCTTGGGCTTCCCAGGTGGCTCAGTGGGTAAAGAGCCCACCTGCCAATGAGGGAGACTTCAGAGACACTGGTTTGATCCCTGGTTCGGGAACATTCCCTGGAGGAAGTCATTGCTGTCCATTCCAGTATTCTTGCCTGGAGAATCCCATGAACAGAGAAGCCTGGCAGGCTACAGTCCATAGGGTTGCAAAGAGTTGGACATGACTGAAGCGACCTAGCACAGCACAGCACATGAGGGTTACCCATCTGGAATGGCAGAGACCCACATAGTCCCTCCCATCACCACTGGATTCACCTCCAGGCTGGTCCCTGCACCATAACCATCCCACCAGCCAACACAAGTAGAGTTGTTTGCAGGCGCTTGACTAGCAGGAGCCATATAGAGCCTGCTTGCTTGGGCGACCTTCTTTCATCCTCTCTCCCTCAAGCCAGTGAGTGAGGCATGATGACAGTCCCAGATGGGCCCCATTTAGAGGTGGGGAAACTGAGTCCCAGGTGTAGGAAGTAACTCGTGCAGCTCGGTGGCACAGCTTGGATTTGAACCTAGGCAGCCAGGCTCCCCAGTCCATTCATTTAGCAGCCTGGTTATGCTGGCTTAGTAGTAGCAGAACAGATGCTGAGTCCCGGACTCAGGGGTGGGTGCTGGGCATAGAGCAACCTACAACCCAGACCTGCCCTGCCCTTCCCCCACCCTGACCCTCACCGAACCTGGGATAACAATAGATGTTTCTTTAAAAAGAAGGTGCTGTTAAGAGCAGCAAGCATTTCTGGCTGCTAAGCGCTGAGTTAAACATTTTGCTTGCATGTCCTCATGAAATCCCTGACAAAAAACCTGCTGAGGAAAGAAATACCATTTTTCTCCTTTCTACAGTTGAGGAAACTGAGGCTCAGACTGGCCAGGGGTCACCCAGTCAGGAAATGATGGGACAGACATTTGATCTACCAGTTCAGGCTCCTTAGGGCTTTCTTATCCAATCTCTAGACATATCAAGCCCCCCCACCAACAGTTCTCTGCACTAAGTCGAACTCTGGGGGACACAACCAAGATTCAGGCCTTCGGAGAACTCCTGGTCAGGAAGGGGAGACACACCTGGGTGCTGTCACAGCTGAGTCAGAGGGTACCCAGTAGAGACAGTGGGAACTGTCCACCTCGAACAGTCAGGGAAGTACTTCTGGAGGAGGGGGCATTTGAGCTGGGGTTTTGAAGAATGCATAGGAGTTCAAGAGTTGGCAAAGCATGTTGCAGGCATCTATTTACATTCACTCATTCAACAAATATTTCCCAAGGTCTTCCAGGCCAGGCCCAGTGCTGGGAGATGCTGGGGACACAAACCTGAGTCAGACTCAGGCTCTGCCCTCAAGAAACTTATAGTCTGATAGGGGAGAGAGACACAGTCACCATAGTGTGATCTGAGCTCTAAGGGAGGTAGTGCAGGCATTGTGGGAAAACAAAAGAGGACTAGAAAGAGTAGGGATTCAGCGTTTTCCAAGCAGAATTCCTACAGAGGGGACCTCATGTGCACTAGCTTGTTTATTTAGGTATTAAACATGTCTTGAGGCTGCCTATGGGTCAGACTGTGGATGGGGTGATGCTGCAGGTGAGGAGACCCAGGCCCCACCCTGAGAGGCTCCCATCTGGTGAGGAAAGCAGACCGAGACACAGTCCAGGTGATCGCGACTAAGAGAGAGGGGCGGTGACTGGGACTAAGACAGAGGGACAGGGAGAGGGAGAGGCCCAGCGACAGACAGGGTGGTGGGATGGCTAACCTGACCCTCTCCTCCATTTACTGACACCCAGAGAGGGGAAGGGACTTACCAAGATCTCACAGCACACAGGGTCCTCCTGAGCCTGGAGTCTGGGAACTGCAAGAGACAGACAGGCAGACATCCAAATTTATAGACACACACACCAGGCATCCAAGACCCACTGGAGATAACTTCATCACTCATCTCCCGAGACCGCCCTTAGCCAGGGCTCAGCTGGGCGTGCTGGGTACGCAGATGGTCTGAGCCGGGCCCTGCCCTGGAGGAGCAGGTGGGGGAGGCAGATGCCTCTGATCCATGGATCCCTGGGAAAAGAGCGAGAGGGTGTGTTGGCTTGGATGGGCCATCTCTCCTTCAAGAGGCCCCATATACCAGGTGCCTGGAGAAGGAGAAGCGTTTTGATGGGGAATAGTGCGAGGGAGAGAGGGGGAAGAAAAATGGGAAATGCGGGGCTGGGTCGCACTAGGGGAGAGGAGGCAGGAGACAGCGATGTCAGGGCCCTGGATGCCAGGCTGAGGGGCGGGGACTTCATCCTGGAGGCCGCTCTGAGTGTTGGAAAGATCCTTCTAGCAAACAGCATGTGTCTGTCTGTCCATCTGTTTCTCTGTCTCCTGGGACATGTGATTAAGATCTTGCCCTCTTTTGTGAGGTCTGCACCGTACCCCAGGGCCCGAGGCTGAGCTCAGGAGCCCTTGGCTCTACCCTGAGGCTTTGGGGGCACCTTGGACAGCTCCCTCTTCAAAGCCCTGCCTAGGGCAGGCCTCCTTGAACCTGGGACAGTTGCTGTCAGAGGGCTGGGGAGGTGTGGGGTGGGGGGGCAGGGTGATTTTGGCTCCCAAGAGGCATCTGGCGACACCGGCATTTTTGGTTGGGGTGGGGAAGCTCCTGGCATCTGGGGGGTCAAAGCCACGGCGCTCTCAAACACTCTACACTGCACAGGACGGCCCCATGATGAAGAATCATCTGGCCCCCCGACGTCAATGGTGCCGAGATGGAGAAATCTTGGTCTGGGATGTGTGTGACCAGGAGTATCACAGATCTATGGGGTGTGCTTGTGCGTGTGTGTGCATGGCTGTGTGTGATCTGATTGTAGGTGACAGCGTGGCTGCGTGTGCCCGACTCTTGGTCCAGGGCGGTCACTTTGTATTGGAGAGCCTGTCGCTGTTTCAGGCTGTAGCTTCATGCACGACTCTCCGGGGTGGGGGGGTGGGGATGAGCATAGCCCTCCGGCTGGGAGGTCACTGTGACCGATGAAGCCTGTATGTGTGTGTGTGTGAGAGAGTCCTCGGGCAGGGCTGTAACTGTATGTAGACTTTGCACCTGAGTGTGTGTAACCATGTGCATCCGTTTATGTCTGCGGGGCTGGTGGCCAACCCGCGTGCTTCTGGGAAAGAGCTGTCTCTTCTAACTGACCTTCTCCCGGGTGTGTGTCCCAGGCCGTGTGCCTCAGTCTAAGTGTGTATGCCTCTGTCCCCTAGCAGGACCTGCTTGTCCTGGGTGGGACTATTTCCTGTCCCCGGGGCTGACTCTGTTCATCTTCCCGGGCCCTGGTGACTGTGTGCGTCTGTCTGTCCATCCCCTGGCTGCCCCCTCCTCTTCCTAGGGCTGTCCTGGCGCATCCTCTCCGCCAGGGTCAGGGCGGGCGAGTCCCTTCGCACCCTCCAGGGCTCATCAAATGACCAGAGTGACTCCCGCGTGGGTGAGCCGGGGGTGAGGGCTGCAGGGCCTAGGCCCCAAACCCCAGGGCCTGGCGAGCCCACCACCCTGGCTCTGCCCCAGCCGCGTCCAGAGGGGCTGCTGATGGAGAGGGCCTCTGGGAGTCATCGGGGCAGCACGGGCAATTAATTCATCAGATTAATCAGTTCCTCATCCCGGGGCGGGGGCCAGGGCAGCCCTGCGCGGGGCCGAGCCTCCCCAGGCGTCCAAGGTCACCCGGCCTCTTCCTCTCCCCCGCCCGGTGCTGTCTGCATCCGCCGCCTCCGCGGGCCCAGCCCCCACTCCCTGGCCCCAGTCCAGCCTCTGGCCATGGTCCCCGGAGAGATGAATGGGTGGGGGCGGGGGTTCTGCCAGGCGCCGGGGCACTGGAGCGGGCAGGCAGGAGTGGGCATGCGCCCGCCAGAGTGTGCCCCGCTGGGCCCGGGCACATGGGGCAGTCTGTGTGCACATGGGGGTCTCTACACCACGCCAGAGGGCGTCCTGGGCGTCTGTGATAGATGTGTGTCCACGTGAATATTCGTGCACATCCGTGTTTGTGTGCGTGCTTGCATTTGTGTGTCTGGGTGTCTGTGTGCACACGTGTGGGTGTTGAGTATCTGCCTGCAGCCTGTCTTTCCATGTATTTCTGAATTAATGTGTACATGTGTGTACCTGTCTGTTACATCTGAACATACATCTGTGTATATGAGTGTGTACTCGTAGGGCTGTGAATATGTGTATGTGCCCCCGTGTATGTTTTGCATGGGTGTATATTCTTGAATCTGTGTGTGTGCGTTCACTGTGAATATGTATGTGTGTGCCGTGTTTACACATGTCTGCGTGTGTGTGTGCACAGCTTTGTGTCTGTATCTGCACATATGCACTTCTGTGTTTGAGTCTGTGCGTGTGTCTCTGTGTGTGCATGCATCTGTACACAGCATCTGTGAGTATGTATACTTGAGCTTTGATGTACGCGTGTCTGTGTGCATATACGTGTGTTTATGTGCTGTGATTGTGTTGTCTCAGTATCTCGGGAGGTGTGTAGGTTTGTGTGTCCCAGCCTGTCTGGGTCAGCATGGGCTTGTGGCAAGGTACGTTGCGTTTTTCTGCGGTGAGTGTCTCTGGAAACATCAATGAATGCGTGTGCCAGCGGGTGTGGGAAGTGTGTATATGCCGTGTGTGTGTGTGTGTGTGTGTGTGTGTGTGTGTGTGTGTGTGTACACATTGCACAGTCCTGCCCAGCTGAGCTGCCCTCCCTCCCACAGGGCTACTGTCTCAGAGCCTGGAGTTCGGCTCTCCTGCCGACAACTACACGGTGTGTGAAGGCGACAACGCCACGCTCAGGTAGGGGGACGCAGAAGTGCTGCCCCTTCGCCTTCCGTAGGGGGGACTGTCCTGACCCGCAGGCCCCACTCGTCCTTCCCCCCATCGGGACAGAGGCCATCAGGGCCCAGACTCTGGGCCCAGCTCCACCCTGGGCCTCAGTGTGCCCATCTGTCAAATGGGTGGAGGGACGGTGACCACAACCTGGGTTGTTGGAGGATGCAAGAGTCTGTACATACACCCCGGGGGCTTCCCTGGTGGCTTAGTGGTAAAGAACCCACCTGCCAATGCAGGAGACCCGGGTTCAATCCCTGGGCCTGGAAGATCCCCTGGAGAAGGGAATGGCAACCTGCTCCAGTATTCCTGCCTGGGAAATCCCATGGATGGAAGAGCCTGGCAGGCTGCAGTCCACGAGGTCACAAAAGAGTCGGACACAACTTAGGAACTAAACAACAACCAAGCTGAGCTTAGAGAGCTTAGCACACTGACTGTTTAATGAGAATCGGTGTTACCCTCCCCCAGCTCTCTGCTGTCCTCGTTGTGGGTCTGTCCCCCCATCTCTGCACCTCTGTCCCTCTCTCTGAGTGTGTGTCCCCCTCTTTTTGGGTCTATGACACACAGCAGTCACTCAGTAACCATCAGCTGTCATCCCATTGTGCACTTGGGCTCACAACTATCCCTCAGGCTCAGTTTACCCACCTTTAAAGTGGGCGCAGTCACACCTGCCTCCGAGGACTGCCCTGGGAACTGGAGATGCAGCGAGCCTTCCTCTCCCCACCTCCAAGCCCCCTCAATGGGGGGTGACCCTGGAGTGCCAGGCGGGGGTGGGGGAAGAGAACTGCCCTCCCCTCATCCTCCCCTCCAGCTGCTTCATTGACGAGCATGTGACCCGAGTGGCCTGGCTGAACCGCTCGAACATCCTGTACGCGGGCAACGACCGCTGGACCAGTGACCCAAGGGTGCGGCTGCTCACCAACACGCCCGAGGAGTTCTCCATCCTCATCACCCAGGTGGGGCTGGGCGACGAGGGCCTCTACACCTGCTCCTTCCAGACCCGCCACCAGCCGTACACCACTCAGGTCTACCTCATCGTCCACGGTGAGCCCTCTTTCGGGACCCTGGCGGGGGAGGGGGGAGCCGGGGGATGGGCGCTGGGGAGAGGGGACACTCGTGTCCTCGTCGATCCCAGGGACACCCGTGGGAAGACAGACACCCTCCCTGTCCTCACGGACTCCAGCCAGGCTGAGGGAGAGAAAGTCAGAGACAACCTTCAGGGCAGTAGAGATACGGGGGCCAGGGGACACTTGGAGGAAGACCCCCCGTTCGTTGGCTCAGCCCTGTTTCTTGAGTTCCTGCTGCGTGCAGGCACTGCTCCACAGGCCAGGGACAGAAAGGAGCCAGGCAGGCTGGCCCTGCCTCTCTGTAGGTGTCTTTCCGAGGAGAGGCAGTTTCCCAGACATCACGTCTGAGCCGAGACCTTCAGGAAAAAGAACAGCACGTGTGGAGGCTGGATGCGCAGAGCGAGAGAGGTGGTGCTGGAGAGACTCACGGCGGGGCGCGGGAGGCTGGCATCAGAGGTGGTCTGGAGGGCAGCGAGCACGTGGAGAGACAGGAAGCCAGGGACTGCCCTTGACAAGCCCCGACCTGGGAGCCAAACCCTCCGGTTCCAACCTTGCCGCCGTCACCCAGGGGCTGAGGCACCCAAAGCGAGCCGGACGATCAGACTCCTCATCTGCAAAACGGAGATGACGCTGTCATATATCAAATTCAAGACATCATCAGTTGGAAGGGACACCTTTACTTTATTCTGTGTTGCTAGAAACAGGGTGGGAGGGTAAGCTGCCAGTTAAACACTGGCGTCCTTCATAAGGCCACCCTGATTGGAGAAATGCTCGGGGGGCGGGGTCGAGGCGGGGGACGCCCCCATGGGTTAGAATTGATTAACAGGGTAACATATCACTTCCCCCGGTGGCTCAGTCGGTAAAGAATCCGCCTGCGATGAGGCGGACAAGAGTTCGATCTCTGGGTAGAGAAGATTCCCTGGAGAAGGGCATGGCGACCCACTCCAGTATTCTTGCCTGGACAATCCCATGGATAGAGGAGCCTGGCGGGCTACAGTCCACAGGGTCACCAAGAGTCAGACACGACTGAAATGACTGAGTGAGCATGCACGCACCCCAGAGGGGAGTAGTGAGGGTTTCATGGGTTCATTTTTGTGAAATACTTAAAACAGGGTAAGCTTACACTCAGGAAGCACCATACAAGCATTAGCTAAGCAAATTAATTTTCAAAATAATAGTACTAATCAGTAAAAATAGAGATGGGGAGGGAGGAATTCAGACCCAAAGATAGAAAATAGAAACCAAGTGAGAAGGAAGGTGGAGAGAGACCGAGAAAGAGTGAGGAAGACACAAGACCAGCAACTGGAGAAGAAGCCAGATCCAGAGGGAAAGGGAAACAGAGGAATTCTTACAGAGAGATAGGAATGTCAGCTGAGCCCCTGGGTCTGAGGGGGGAGGGGCTGGGGGTCTGGACCCCTGGGTCTGAGGGAGGAGGGGCTGGGGGTCTGGACTCCTGGTCTCAGGGAGGAGGGGCTGGGGGTCTGGACTCCTGGTCTCAGGGAGGAGGGGCTGGGGGTCTGGACTCCTGGGTCTGAGGGAGGAGGGTCTGGGGGTCTGGACTCCTGGTCTCAGGGAGGAGGGACCAGGCCTAGATCCTGGGTCCTGGGAACCCACAGCGCCTCTCACTGACCTTCCCTCTGGCCTGCAGTCCCTGCCCGCATCGTGAATATCTCTTCGCCTGTGACAGTGAATGAGGGGAGCAACGTGAACCTGCTTTGCCTGGCTGTGGGGCGGCCAGAGCCCACGGTCACCTGGAGGCAGCTCCGAGGTGAGGACCCCACCCCTGGCTCAAAGTCCCTTCTCCCACTCCACAGGCTGGGCCCAAAGCTCCCCGTGTTCCTAGCTAGATACCCAGAACCTCCCACTCCCGCCTGTTTTGATCCCTGCCCCCCACCAAAGCCTTGTCATGACCGTATTTCCCCTTCCTACCTGGTCCTGTTATTTCACCAACGGACGCCAGAGGCTTAGAGCCTACCCACGTGCCCTCCCAGGCTGGGGCTGTTTCCTCCACCTGCCTGCTAGATCCCAGCTTGCCCCCCATCCCCAACTCCAGCAGCCCCAGTCTCTTCCCACCAGCTCACAGGATTCTCCTGGACTCAGACCCCCAACCAATAGATGGCCGGAGCCAGGTTAGAGCCACAGCCCCTGCCCACGTTCCGTCTCCTGTTCACATTACTGCATCTCTGCCGGATGCCTCAGGCCAGCGGTTCTCTTAGTTTGGTCCACAGACTCACAGCAGTAGCATCACCTGGAGACTTGCCAGAAACTCATGAGTCAGAACCACCCTTCCCCCCATCACCACCACAGCCTGTCCTATGTCCTAACAAGCCCTTCAAGTGATCCCGAGGTAGAGCTGAGAACCACGGTGGCCCCCGAACAGAGGGACCTGACTGGGAAATCCCATATCCTAGACATGGCGCACCGCCCCCTTTACCTGGATCTCCACCACCATTTCCCAGACCCCTAGATCCTCACTCAGTGGCTCTTGGGAGACCAAATGTGCCAGTCCCTAGATCTCTTGGGACCCCAGAACACAATAACTAGGTCTCGGATCCCTGGATCCATCCCTACGGCTTCATCTGAGCCCCACAGTCCTGGTCTTGAGTTCCTGGATCCCCGAATGCTGTGAGTCCCAAAGGGTCTTCTGAGCGGGCGTACTGTTCTAAGACCCCTGATACCTGGATTGCTGATGCCAGTCACCAGATCCTGATTCCCTGGGCCCCAAGGGCTAGATCCCAGAATCCTGGATCCTCCCTCGCTGGGTCTGTGTTTTTTGGATCTTTCTGAGCCTCAGGAGCTCCTGGCACCCTCCCCACTAGGTTCTAGTTACTAAGTCCCGGCTAGCTCCCCACTCCCGGGCCCAGCCCAGCACCCCCGCCCCCACTGACCCCGGCGCCCCAGGCCCCGCGCCTGTCCGCCCCGCTGATGTCTGTCCGTGTTGTGCCCGTGTTGTCCCGTGTTAAGTGTTTGCGTCCGGCCCCGCCCCCTCCCCTCCCCTCCCCCCACAGACGGCTTCACCTCCGAAGGCGAGATCCTGGAGATTTCTGACATCCAGCGGGGCCAGGCCGGGGAATACGAGTGCGTGACTCACAACGGGGTTAACTCTGCACCGGACAGCCGCCGCGTGCTGGTCACAGTCAACTGTGAGCCCCCCACCCCGGGCACGGTGCACGAAAGCGGGGCGGGCCCTGGGACCCCGGTGATGAAGAGTGTGCGAGAGGAGGAAGGGGGTGGGTCTGCGGGAGGAAGGGGTCTAAGAGGAGGGTGCCAGAGGACCTGGACTCTAGGAAGAAGGAGGGGCTGGGGGGTGAGACCCCTTCGTCCGCACTGGGCAAGGAAAATTCGCTGACCCTGTCCCTTGCCAGATCCTCCGACCATCACCGACGTGACCAGCGCCCGCACGGCTGTGGGCCGGGCAGCCCTCCTGCGCTGCGAAGCCATGGCGGTGCCCCCCGCGGATTTCCAGTGGTACAAGGATGACAGACTGTGAGGATGGCACTGGGGCGGGCCGTGGTGGTGGTGGGGTGGGGGGGGGTGGTCTTCGGTCCTTTGCGACTCGGGGAGGGGGCAGAGAGAGCAGAGCTCCGGGTCCTGGAAACCCGGAGGGGGGGGCGGAGTCCGGGTTCTAGGTGTTGGGGTCCACTGGGCCCCAGGGGAACTGTGGTGGCTTACTGGAAATTTGGGTCCTGGGATAATGAATGCTGGAGCCTGGCCTCCTCCGACTATTCAGGAAGAAGGTCTGGGGTGGGGGACGATGCTGAGATTTGTCAGAGAAGCTTTAGGGTTAGGGGACCACTGGATCTGAGGTTTAGCAGGGCCTGGGAATCCCTAGAGGTTGGAGGTGAGGGTCTGGGTTGCCTGCAGAGGGGCGTCGGTGGGAGTGGCCCGGGATCTATGGGGAGTTAGAACCAGAGGCTACGGGTCGCTGGGATGGGGGACAGAAGGTAGGGTCTCCACAGGGAGTCTAACAGTCAGGGGGCTGGGCTTTTTTCCGGAGGGGGTCACGGGCCAGGGTCCTGCGGTCTGGTTCCTGACCCGGATCCCCGGCAGGCTGAGCAGTGGCACGGCCGAGGGCCTGAAGGTGCAGACGGAGCGCACCCGCTCGATGCTTCTCTTCGCCAACGTGAGCGCCCGGCATTACGGCAACTACACGTGCCGCGCAGCCAACCGGCTGGGAACGTCCAGCGCCTCCATGCGGCTCCTACGTGCGTCCCCCGAGCAGCGGAAGGGGCGGGGCCGGGGCGGGGGCGGGGCCGAGGCCGAAGCTTAGGAAAGAGCCCAAGACCGGTGTTCATTGAGCGCCCACTAAGGGAGAGGATTGGATGCTGGGGACACAGCAAGGCACGAAAGAGGCAAGGTCAGGTGGCTCAGGCGATAAAGAATCTGCCAGCCATGCAGGAGACCTGGGTTCGATCCCTGGGTTGGGAAGATCCCCTGGAGAAGGGAATGGCTATCCACTCCAGTATTCTTGACTAAGAAATCCCACGTACAGAGGAGCCTGGCGGGCTGCAGTCCATGGGGTCGCAAAGAGTTGGACACGACTGAACGACTAACACTTTTACTTTGTCTAGGCACTCATACACCTAGTAGCAGTGGTAGAAAAGCAATAAAGGAAAGGAGACAAATAAAATGAAAAGTCAACAAATACATAAGCAAAAAACAATTTTGCATATTGATAAGGACTATCAAGAAAATAAACAATAGAATTGGGGATGGTAGCAGTAGACAAGCGCATCAGAGAAGGCTTCCTCGAGGAAGCAGCGTTTGAAGTGGGACCTGAATGGTCAAGAGAATCCAGCCCTGTCAAGATCTACCAAAGAGCTTTGAAGCGGGGCGGGGTGGGGACAGAGATGAGCCAGATGCTTAGGTTAAAACAGAGTAGGGGAGAGCGGGGTCCCTGAGTGAAAACCCGGAAAGGTCCTTAGGAGGCGGCCTCAGACAAGACCCTCAGAAACAAGACACCAGGGAGAGACACGCATGGGGTCTCCCCACTCCGGGCCTCCTCCCTTGACCCTCTCTCTTTCCCCAGGCCCAGGATCCCTGGAAAACTCGGCCCCGAGGCCCCCAGGGCCCCTGACCCTCCTCTCCGCCCTGGGCTGGCTGTGGTGGAGGATGTAGGAAGAACCCAGTGCCGCTGGAGTCCCCTGCAAGGGGGGCCTGAGGCCGAGAGCGAGAGGAGCAGGGGGAGCAAGCGCCGTGGGTCTCGAGGGGCGGAGGAGCTCTCGGCCGCTGAGGAAGAAAAGGAAAAGGAAGAGGAGGAGGGAAGATCTATAGAGAACCCATCACTGTGAGGGATAACGCAAAATTATGCATCTTTCTACAGCCATTCTCGCCACCGTTCACCTTTCCGATTGTGACCCACCCCTGGCCACCCCCACACCCCTCTCTTAGCTCAGGCTGTCAACTGGATCGCGCGCGTGTGGTGGGTGTGAGCGTGAGCACGTGCGTGTGTGTGCATGTGTGTGTGTGTGTATGGATGGATGGGTGGGTGGGGAAAGGGGCTCAGCACTTTTCCCTCCTGGACACCCCCCCCCAACATCCACTGCCCCCATCCCCACTGTCTCTCACCTCTGGCTGGAGGTAGGTATGGGGTCTTGCTGGAAGTTGTGAGGGGAGGTTTTCCAGGCTCCCGCTTTCCCAGTATATGCACGCACCCCGCCCCCTCCCCTCCCTGCTGAAAGGCTGTCTCCCGGGCAGGTTGGAAGTGGGAGGGGCATCAGACTTGCCTGGCAAGCTGTCACTCAACCTCTGCGAGCAGGTGCGGGATCTCCACCTTGGCTCTGGGCCTCCCTGCTGTCAACCAACCACCTGCCTGGAGCCAGAGGCCCCATCACCGGCTCAGCGGCCTGAGACCTTCCCGCTTTCCCTGTCCCTCCCCGCCCTGGACTTTCTGGCCCTCTCCCGGGCCGATCGGTGCTTCCATCCAACTGTCAGGCTGGTGCCTGCTGTCACCTGTCTGCCTCAGTGCTTTGCCCTAGCCCGCCCCCACTCCCTTCGGCCACCCGCAGCGCCCGCCAGCTGCCCTCAGCGCCCCTACGGCCGGCCCACAGGTGTGAGCTTGCTGGTCCACCACTCCCTGGCCTCTCCACCAACTGACCCTCCCACAGTCCCACAACTGACCACCCTCACACACACTCAGACACACACACACACACACACACACAAGCGACTGTGACCAGCAATAGCCCCCTGGCTCCAGCTGTCCTGTAGCCGGTGACCAGCTGTGGTTCCCCCGAGATGAGCAACTATGTCAGAAAGGCACTCCGAGACTGTGACTTCAGCTCGGAATGTAGGCATACCCCACTCTGGCACACCACATCGCACAAAGCGGGGGGGAGAGAGGGGCATCACGCAGACGTCCTCAGCCCAGACCAAGATGTTACCAACTCCTGCTCCCGGGAGACCCTCTATAAACACCCACCCCAAACTGTACCACCCAGAGCTTGCGAGGGCGAGAGAGGGCAGAGCAGGGGCAGGGGGGGCAAGGGGCAGTGACTGTACCTCAGATGGGGGCCCCATCCCACATTGTCTTCCATTCCCAGGGTCCAGGAGACAGGGAGGGGAGGGGGAAGGGTGCCAGGGAGGGGGGCGGGGGGGCCCTGGGGGCCGTGTGTTCCGATTCATGGGGAGTGTTGAGACCGCCACACCAATAAACGCCTTTTTCCAAAGTCTCCGCCTGCCAGTGTCAACGTCAGTGAGCATATGGCTGAGTGGAGCGCAGACTCCTGGTCATTGGTGGTGCCTCCCCAGCGTCACTTCTGCCCTCCCCTTTCTCTGTGGTAGATTTGGAATTGACCTATTTACAGATGTGGCCCCTGATTGGCTGAAGCTACTCGGCATAGCCCGTTTCCCACTGTGACTGGTTCAGAGGTGGGCACAAGGCCCAGCCAGACTAACGAGAGAATGAACACCAGAGCAGTGTGGATTTCCCAGGAAGAGCTGCTCTTCTGTTAGGATAATGTGGCTCAATGGTATGAAGTCAAGATCTGCAGGATGTCTATTCTCCATCACATGGAGAGATCTTGGGTCTATGGGGATAGCACTGGTGGGGAAGACAATACATGGAGCCCGAGTGATAGAAACACTATGGAATGCAGAGTGGAAAGTCTAGAGAAACTGAGTCCATGATGACATCATTTGAGCAACTGGATCAAAACTTACCTGATGCCTACCTTCACTTACATAAGCAATAAAGTTCCATGTATGTTTAAACCAACTCATGTTAGGTTTTCAATTTCTAGTGATTACAAAGGAAATGAAAATTCTCACTGACAGATGAGATGTAGAGGTTCCAGAGACTCCAGCCATCATCTTTCTGAAAAGATCCAAGGTCTCTGTTTTCCAAAGTCCTCTTTCACACCCAAATTTAGCCAGAACGGCTCACATCCTTTCCTCCCAAGATAGACAGTTGCCTATGCTTTAGTTATTTGTTTACACTTTCATCTCTGCCCACCTTCCATGACACAGACTGAGATATTTTGTTTCCCAGCCTCCGTCACAGTGATATAGCCAGCTTTTGGTCAATGAGATTTAAGGGAAGTTTGCTATCAGGCTTCCAGGAAATTTTTCCCTCATTCATGTGAGGAAAGGAACCCTGCTCCCTTCCTTTTGTCATTAGATACAGTTGTGTGAAGATGTGATGCCTGGAGCTGCAGCAGCCAGTTTGTAACTTGAGACAATATGCCAACCAACTGAAGGTGGCAAAGCAGAAGGACACAAAGAACCCAGACACTTGATGGTATCACTAAGTTGTTGAGCCACACTGAAACTACCTACCCCCATATTTCTTGCCATCATTTACTTTATTACTTATAGCCAAAATAATCTTCACTGAAGCATTCCTTACATTTCCAGTGAGAAACTCAATTGGAAAAGGAAGTCATCCTGCTGGGGAGAGCAGCAGCAAGCCCTGAACTTCACTGGCCCCAGACATTTGATCAGATGACAAATACTTATGGATGTTTTTGTGCCAAACTCTGTGTTAAGTGCTGCTGATAATGACACAGTCTCTACCTTTGTGGAACTCTCAGTTTAGAAAGGAAGTTGGAGGTTAAACAAGTAATTACATATTTACATACAAGAAGCAGGAGGTTCAGAGCCTCTAGGACCCAATTCATAGCCAAGGCAAGTTAGGGTCATGGGTTAGAGAAGGGTCCTCTAAGATGGTAACAGTTCCCTTTACACTCGAAATATTAATGATGCAGAGCAAAGAATCCTGCTCTAGGTGCAGTATACTCTAGAAGCAAAGCCTGGAGGCAAACTAAAGTACGATGAAGAAAAGCAGGGGTGAAATTTCTGTAAGGGGAGGGTAGAGAGGCCAACAGAGGCCAAACCACAAGGCTTCAAAGGTCACAATGAGGAGCTTGAACAATATCTGAAGGGCAATGGGCAGCTCTAGAAGGGCTTAAAGAGAAGAGGTATGTGATCTGATTTAAGATGAAGATTCTGGGAGCTGGATGGGGCGTAGCCTGGAGGAGGCCAACATCGATATAGGAAGACCTTTCCAGAGAATGAGGCAGGGCACCCTCTCCAGCTTCCAGCCGCAGCACGCCCTGCCCGGCCGCCACAGACCCTTGCCCACTTGAAGGCTGTACAAACCACACTGTTCGGCTAGCAGGAGTCTCTCCCAGCCCTGGAGTCCCATCTCCTTAGTTGCATAAATACAGGGAGAGTCTTCTTGGGCGCTGAGAGAAGGAGATGGGAAGTCCCACTTTCCAGGTCCAACCGTCAATCACAGTGGGACAGGAAGTCCCTGACTGCTACGGAGGCGAAATATGAAGTCCCGCCCCCCAAGTCCTGCACAGAGCAAGTCACATCTCTGCTCACACCTGTGTGGCCGCCCTAACGGTTTTGGGGCCCCCACCTGGAGGCACGCCAGTGGCCTAGAAGAGAGAAGAGGGACAGGGGATGACCACAAGAGTTACCCTGGATGTGACCATAATTCACCCTTTCCCAGCGCTAGCTGGCACCATTCCAAAATTAACTGAGTTCCCTCCATTTGCAAGGGGGAAAAATGGTCTAGTCACCCTTGGGAGAGATAAGACATACAACAACTCAAATTTTATGGGGAAGAGATGTTCTGTCCCACTTAAGAGAGAAAATGGAAGTTTTGCCAATTTTTATGGAAATGAATGAAGGCGTTTTGGAGAAATTGGAATTTCATGCATATATATATATATATATACATATATATATATGGGATGGAAAGTCCTGTCCAACTTCTATGTATCAAAAAAAAAAAAAGAGGGGGAAAAATCTATCAACTTTCTGAACCAACAAAAAAAGCTGGACGAAGAGAATTCTGACTATCTCCTCTGCCTGACTAAAACACAAAAATTTCCACCCCCATTCCAGGACCCTAGGGCACCCATACTCACTGGGTGAGCCCTGATTGGGCTAGGGTTCTCCAGCGGTACTTTGAGGGGCAGAGGCTGTGGGGTCTGCACTGGGGTCACGCTCTGCACCTTCTTTTCCGGTTGGGGGGCTACAGGGGCCCATGTGCAGGGTTGCTTCTTTTTCTTATAGGCCTCTCCTGGGAAAGGGATGAGGAAGAGAAATGGGAACACTTGATTGACTGTACCCACATGCCCATTCAGTCAATGGCAAAGGAAGCTGGGTGGAAGGTGGATTGGATGAGGTAACTGCTGATTGGTTCAGAGGCTGAACCAGTGGGACTCTTTCCAGGGGTGGGCTCCCCACTTACTTTGAAAGCGGCACAGACAGCAGACGCACAGGAGGAGAAGAGCTGCCAGGAGTGCCAGGCCTAGTAGGGACCCCAGAACGATGCCAGCGATGGCCCCGGGGCCCAGGGTGGAACCTGGAAGAAACCAAGAAAAAGGGAATAAGGAGAACAGGAACCAAAGCTGGACCTGTTTCCTGAGCCTTCTACCTCAACCCTCCGCTCGTCAGAACCCAGGAATCTGAGACCCCCACACCCTCAGTCCATTAAATGTTTCTTGAATGACTGTAATGTGGCTGGCATTCTGTCAGGTGGTGAAGATCCATTGGTGAGCAAACCAAGATACCTGCTGTCCTGTGGGTTAATATTAATATTAGGGAGGAAATCAGAAATGAATATGCAAATAGATAACATAATTACAGATTGTGTTCAGAAGAAAAAATAAATGTGCTATGATAGAAATTTGCTTTTGATGTCTCTGCTTTCAGGAGCAAAAGCAGACACATCACTTTGCTGGCAAAGGTCCCTATAGTCAAAGCTATGGTTTTTCTAGTAGTCATGTACAGATGTGAGAGTTGGACCAGAAAGAAGGCTGAGCGCCAAAGGATTGATGCTTCTAAATTGTGCTAGAGAAGACTCTTGAGAGTCCCTTGCACTTCAAGGAGATCAAACCAGTCAATCCTAAAGGAAATCAGCCCTGAATATTCATTGGAAGGACTGCTGCTGAAGCTGCAGTGCTAATACTGTGGCCACCTGATGCAAAGAGCCTACTCTTCAGGAAAGACCCTGATGCTGGAAAAGACTGAAGGCAAAAGAATGGGGTGGCAGAGGATGAGATGGATGGATGGCATCAACCAATACAGTGGACATTAACTAGAGCAAACTCCTGGGGATAGTGAAGGACGGGAGTCTGGCATGCTGCAGTCCATGCTGTTGCGTCAGACACGACTTAGCCACTGAACAACAACAAATGATAGAAATAATGGAAGGGGAGGTGACATTTAGAAAAGCTGGTGAGGGAAGGGCCTCGAGGAAGTAACATTTGAACAGAGACCTGGGGAATAGGGACCCAGGCATGCTAAACAGGGGGACAAAGGTGTTCCCAGCAGAGGGAACAGAACATGCCAAGACTCAGAAGCAGGAAAGGGTTTTCTGTGTTCAATGAAGGCCAGGGTGGGTGGAGGATATAGAATGAAGGTGGAAGAGGTAAGGGTTGAGGTTAGAGGGATTAAGAAGGGCCAGAGCCTGGACATGAAAGGCTTTTAAGCAAGGCAGCAGCAGCCTGGTCTGATTTGCATAACTTTGGCTTCTACTTGGAGGATGGACTGTAGGAGGGCAAGAGGGGGCATAAAAAGACCAGGAAAATGGCTACTGCAGTCAAGGCAAGAGAGGACTGTAGTGTCTGACCAGAGTGTAGAAGTGAAGATGGAAAGAAGCAGATGATTAAGAAAGCATTTTGGAACAGAACTTGTACCCTGCTCTTGTGTGAAAATTGTGTAAATTTTAATTATGTTGGATTGGCTCATAGTGCTCTTCAGATCTGCTATATTCTTCTACTTTTCTGTCTATACATTCTATTAATTTTTGAGTGTGATATTGAAACTCTAGCTAAATATCTTATCTACTTAAAAAATAACTGCAATATATAGTTGAACTACGTGTAACTTTGTTCTGTATTTTCCAAGTCTCCTGTAAATGTATTATCATACGTTCATAGTTTGAAAAATTGAAAATTTATTTAGTTATTTAAAATAATATTTGTTCTTATTTATTTCTTTGACTGTGTTGGGTCTTAGTTGCAGCATGTGGTATCTACTTCCCTGACCAGGGATCGAACCCCAGGCCCCCTGCGGTGGGAGCATGGAGCCTTAGCCACTGGACCACCAGGGAAGTCCCTCAAAAATCTAAAACTAAAAAAAAAAAACATTTTGGAAGGAAACGATGGGACTCTTGAGATATTTGGGATGTTAGAGGTGATGTCAGCATGTGGGTGGTGCCATTTTCCAGGATAGGAAGACTGAAGAGTTGACAGGAGGGGAGTGGGCAGGGTATAGTTTGGGGAAACATCAAGAGGTCTGTTTTGGACATGTAAAGTCTGAAATGTCAGATGGACATTCAAAGTGAAGATGTCAAGTAGGGAGGTGGCTTTTCAAGTCTGGAGTTCAGCGGTCTGGGCTGGAGATCAGACATTTGAGAGTCATCTGAGTATTGATGATATTTAGTCAGTGAGAAAGGAAAGGCCACACTGGTGAGAAATATAGGTGGAGAAGAGAGCTAAGGATGGACGCGTCCAATACTTTAGAAGCTGGGAGTACTCGCAACTACTGAAACCTGCACGCTTCACAGCTAGAGAGTCTGTGCACTGCTATGAAAGACCCTGCCTAACGCAATGAAGATCCTGTGTGTCGAAACTAAGACTGATGCAGCTAACTAAATACGTAAAAAATTTTAAAAGGAAGTTGGAGAGTGTTACTAATTGTCTCCTCTCCCAAAAGATACAGTATACCTGTGAATGTGACTTTACTTGGAAATACAGTCTTTGCAGATGTAATCAAGATGATACACAAAGACTTCATTTCCAAATAAGGTCACATTCACACATATTGAGGGTCAGGATGTCAGAATACAGTAGGTCCCCCTGCCACTTTATCTGCAGGGGATACATTCCAAGGCCCTCAGTGGATGCCTGAAGTCATGGATAGCATCAAAACCTACGTATCTACATTTTCCCAGCATCACTACTCTGGCCCTTTGGGATCATTAATAAGTGAAATAAGCGTTTCTGGAACACAAGCCCTGACATACTATGACAGTTGATCTGACAACCGAGACAGTTTCAAAGTAACTAACAGACAGGATATGCTGAACAAAGAGATGACTCACTTCCCAGGCGAGATGCAGTGGACAGCATGAGATCTTACCATGCTACTCAGGCATGCAATTGAAAACTTATGAATCGTTTATTTCTGAGATTTTCCATAGAATATTTTCAGACCGCAGCTGACCCCTGGTAACTGAAACCTCAGAAATCAAAACCGAGGATAAAGGGGCTACTGTATCTTTTGCATGGGGAGGCACAATTCAACCAATCAAGTCCAGATGAGATCATGAGTGTGGGTGCACATTGGATATGACTTGTGTCCCTACAGGAAGATAGAGACACACACAGGGAGGAGGGGGAGACTGTGGGAGGCTGGAAGCAAAGGCTGGAGTAATGCCAAGGACCGATGGTCACTATCAGAAGATAGAGGGCCGCCCTGGTGGCTGAGGTGGTAAAGAATCCGCCTGCAATACAGGAGACCTGGGTCTGATCCCTGGCTTGGGAAGATCCCCTGGAGAAGGGAACAGCTACCCACTCCAGTATTCTGGCCTGGAGAATTCCATGGACTATATAGTCCATGGGGTAGCAAAGAGTCAGACATGACTGAGCGACTTTCACTTTCGCTTTATCAGAAGCTAGAAGGAGGCAAGCGAGGGTTCTTCCCAGAATCTCAGAGGCAGGGACTTCCCTGGGGGTCCTGAGATTGAGAATTCACCTTCCAATGCAGGGGATGTGGGTTCGCTCCCTCACTGGGGAACTAAGATACAATGTGCTTTGGGACAACTAAGCCTGTGGGCTGCAATGGAGCCCCAGCGCAGTAAAAATTTAAAAATTAATTAAAAAAAAGAATCTGCCTTATTCAGACGGGACGCACGGTTCGGTCCCTGGTCAGGGGACATGCCACAGGCAGCTAGGCCCCGTGGGTCACAACTAAAGAAAAGCGCACACGCTCTAGAGCCCAGGTTCCTCAAGAGAAGCCCATGCACCACAAGGAACACACAGTACAGGAAACAAAACAAAACAAAACTCGACAGTCTCAGAGGCAGCGTGACCCCGCACAGACTCCCGGCTTCCAGAGTTGGCAGAGAGTACATTTCTGTTGTTTCCAGCCACACAGTTCAAGGCATCTAATTACGGCAACCCCAGGAAACTAACGCAGAGAAAGAAGGAAGAGCCAACTAAAGAGACTTGAGAGGAGGAAGTCCAGACTCCAACTCACCGGCCTGGTAGATCTGGCTTTGGGAGGGCGTCCCTGGCTGGCCTCCCAGGGTGGGCAGGATACGAAAGACCCAGGTCCTAGGGTTCTGAAGAGGGAGGGGCACCACAGCTGACCGCTCCCGAGGCCCCAGGATGAGCAAGGAGACCCAGTCCTTAGAGGCGATGGCTCTGCCAGGGTCAGGGCCCTCCACCTGTGCCTGGATTCGGAAACGGCTGATCAGGGCCCCGCGTTCCACATCCCAAGTCAGCACCACTGCATCCCTGGTTCTCTGCAGCCTCCACGAGGAGATGGATGGTCCTGGGTGGGGGGGAGGGTTGGAACGGGGGGTCAAGGTGGAAACTGGATTCACTGGTCCAAGAGGGAAAGGAACGGGGTCACAGACCTGGACTCCTAAGTCCTAGAAGCAGAGGGTCTGGAGACCCCAACTCCTGGATCTGAGAAAGGAAGAGACTGGGGGCTTGAACTCTTGGGTCTGAGGGAGCAAAGGTCTGAGCGTTCCCTGGAAGAACTGACTGGGGTCCAGGATTCTGTGAGAGATCAGGGGTCTGGGGGGTGGGAGTCCTAGAGTCTGGGGTTGGAGGAGGCCCAGGACCAAGATCTCTGTGTCTAAGGGAGGAGGGGCTGGGGGTCTGGAGCCCTAGGTGTGAGGGAGGAACTGGCTGGAACCTCAGTCTCCTGGGTTTGGGAGAAGAGAGGTTCTGGGAGAAAATGGGACTCACCAGTGAGGGTGACCTTGTCGCCCCCAGCACCCAGCGCCCCACTGCACAACACTGAGTAATTTCCCAGGTCCCGATCCAGGCTGAAGTTGCCGATGAGAAGTCTCCGCCCGTCCTCGGTGAGCCGCAGGCGTCCGCCGCCTCCTGGGGCTAGGGGCCGCCCTTCCCGGGCCCAGGAAGCTCGGGAAGGTGGGGGACAGCCAGACGCCAGCAGCGCTACCTCTGCCTCCCCAGACTGTGTCTCCTCCACGATCGGATGAATCAGGACCTCTCGGGGGGCCTCTGCAGGCGGAAGAAACCCGAGCAAGAAAGTCAAAGAAGGCGTCCTGTGCCCTTCGGTGAATCTAATAGGGCACCTTAGCCATTAGAGGAAGATCCTGGGAACGTGTCAGTTCTCTTGGTGGGTCCAGGAAAGAAATTTTGGACCGGCCCCTGCTTGAGGTATAGAGAAAACCTCCAAACATCTGTAGGGTTAAAAACAGGAAATCCCCCTTCCTCGGGTCCTAAAGGAGCAAAGCAGTAGCCCCTCCTCCTCGGGGGAAACAGTAAGGAAATCCCACGGGCTCTCACCCGGGGTGACAGTGCACGTGCGCGTGGTCACCAGGTGGCGAGCAAGGCAGGTGACGGGCACGCCGCTGAGCTGGGGGTGGGCGGGGACCACTGCCTGGAGCACAGAGGACGCCAGTCCCTCCCGGACGCCTTCGGGGAGACCCTGGAACTTCAGGGAGGCGGCAGGGACCCCGCCTGGCCACGAGCAGCGGAAGCGGAGGCTGCGATCCCCAGGACCCCCTTCGACGGAGCACTGAGGGGACCCGGGAGGCAGATCTGTGGAGGAAAGAGAGAGATCAAGGGGTCAGGCGACTCTGTTCCCGTTCCCCCCACCCCAGCCCCTTCACTCCTCTTCTTCACCTGACCCCGCCTTGTAGGCACTGACCCCGCCCATTCTCGTGCAAACCCCTCTCGCTTTCTGGCAACTCCGGGGCTAAGTGGACAGCCACTGGCCATCCTTGCTCCTCGCCTTCTCCCGGGCATCCCCGCCCCTCCTAGATGGCCCCGCCCCTACTTCCTGCCCTGCATCGCTCACCAGCCACGGTGAGGTTGAGCAGAGAGCGCCGGCGGCTGCCGGTGCGCGGATTCGTGGCAATACAGGCGTAGGCGCCGGCGTGGCCGGGCCGGACCACGGGCAGCAGGAGGTGCGGGCCGGCGGGCACGGCGGCCTCGGCGGGGTCGGCCAGACTCCAGGTGATGTCGGCCGGTGGCCGCGAGGCGGCGGTGCAGCTCAGGGTCACGTTGCTGCCCGCGGTGACATACAGTGCGGGATTGGCATCGCGGTTCGAGGAGACAGTGATGATCGGCAGATCCGGGCCATCTAGGCAGAGGAAGGGGGTTGAAACCGCGAAGGTCGGGGTCATCTGGGGCCGCCCCAGGATTTCCAAAGGCTGGACGTCCTCCCTAGGGACTCTAGGAGCCCTCAGATCCGTGTCCCCGACCCGAGGCGTCCCCCCACTCACAGAAAACACTGACGTCGGCTGAGGCCTCCGTGTGGCCGAAGGGGCTGTGGACGCGGCATGTGTACCGGGCGTGGTCGCTGCGCATCGGACGCGCGATAAGAAGCTGGTCGCCCTCTGCGCGGATCCGCGGTGGCTCGGCTCCCGCAGACTCCACTGTATCCAGGGCGCGTCCGTCCCGCGTCCAGCTCAGCTCCCCGCGACCCGGCCCCCACCCCATGCAGCGCAGCCGGAGCTCCGCTGCTCCCTCCTGGGTCTCCGGAGCCTCGGGCTGCATGGACAGTTCGGGCATGGGCTCTGGGGGAGGGGGCACGGGCTCAGGACTAGGCTCTCAGTCCCTGCGGCCCTTAGGTCCGAGACCCAGTCCCTGCCACCTCTTACACCCAGGACCTGGCCCAGCTGAGTCTCGGTCTTAGCCCTCCTCTTAGCCCCAAGAATCCTCTTCTCACAGACAGAGTCCCCAACTCTCTCCTCTCTGGGACTCAGGAGTCAGCGCCCCCAGGAGTTTTGGTCCCCAGGTCCAACTTCCCTCAAGCATCAGCCTTGTCCCCCAGCTCCTCTTCTGCCTCTTCCCAACCCAGGAGTCCTCTCCCTTGTCTGTGTCCTCTTGGGCAGGACACATCCGCAGAAGAGCAGCAATCTGCCCACCAGCAGGCCGCACAGTCAGTTCTCCGAACCTCAGAGCCCACTTACCATACACACCCACCGTGAACTCCTGGATCTGCCGGGAGACCCCAGCCCGGATGACCTCTGCTGTGTAGACCCCAGCATCTTTCAGCTGAGCAGAGGTGAGCTCCAGGCGCCCTTGGGTCTGGTCAAATTGTAGGCGGTCTTGGTAAGCGGGGTCCAGGCTAGTCAGAGGGGCCCCTGGCCCCAGGCCCCCCGCTGCTAACACCTTGGAACCTCGGCGCCAAACTACCAGAGGGGGTGGGGGGCCAGGGCTGGGGACTGGAACCAGCCGGAGCTGGATGGTGGTCCCCACCAAGACGGCAAGAGGCTCCCCCGCCTGCAGGGGGAAGCTTGTCCCCGCATGGGCCTCTGAGGACAATTTGGAACCCAGGCTCTGGGCAGAGAACTCAAGATCCCCATCCTTAGGGGAGTATTTTGAAGCTGAGGCCTCCATAGAGACTTTAGTATCGGGGACGTGAGCAGAAATGCTGGAAGCTGGGGTCCTAATAGACAAGGAAGGCTCCCAGCTTGGGGCAGCAACTTGTGAACCCAAGGTGTCAGGAGATACACTGGAACTGGGGATTCCAGAGAAGGGTTCCAGATTCAGATTTTTGCTCTCAGCAGAAATATTGGACCTTAAGGAATCGTTCAAATTTAGCCCCTTGGGAGACCATTTGGAAACCGGGGTATCCGTGGAGACTTTTGAGCCTGCCGTCTGATCTGGGAATTTCCAGCTGGGGGGATGGGTGGAGGGAACTTTCGCACCCGGGCCCTGGGAAGAGCTTTCTGGGTCCGAGGAGAGACTGGTTCTCTGAATTTCAGAAGAGGCTTGGAAGGCGAGGACCTCTACTCCGGAGGCTGCAAAGGAGAGGAGGGGAGGGTATTGCTGGGCTGCAGAAAAGGGGGCAGGTGGGGAACCGGCTGAGTCGGGGGCTTACCCAGGAGCAGGAGGAGTGGCAGAGCGCGTGAGGTGTCCATGGTGCTGGCCGCACCCGCGAGGATACTGGAGCAAGACCCAGGGCCTGCACTGATCCCTCTGGGGCTGGACAAGTCTGACAGGACTGGTAGCTTCCTGGGCGGGGAAGAAAGACAGATGTAGTGGGAGGTGCCGGGATCCCCCACCCGGATCTGGTGGCTGAGCCACCAACCCCACCCTGTTTGTCCTCATCAGCTGGTCTGATCTCGGGGCGGGTGCCTAACCTGACCCCTGCACTCCCCACTTGCCTGGGGGCGGGGGGGTGGGGTGGCGGGGAAGATGGTAACAGTGGAGTCCCAGCTGGAAACTTAGTAGTGTCCCAGCTGGAAACAAGCTTGTGGAGAGGGGCAGGGGAGGCGAAGCCAGGAAGACAGCCTGGAGGAGGGTGAGACGCCCTTTCAGAGAGCCCCCGCCCCCCCCCCCCCCCAACGTCTTAATGGCTGTGGTCTTCTTCCTCTGCAGCCTCCTGGCCTCTGGTCCACTCTGTCCTGCCAGGCCTCAAATACCCATCTGATCCTGCTCCTCCTCTGCTCTCCATCGTCCCTTTTTGCTCTCAGGGGCGTTTTGAGTGGCTGTCTTCCACCCAATCAAATCTCCTGAGACCCAGAGCTGTGTCTCCTTGACCCCTAGACCTTCACACACCCTCTGTCCCACTAAACTTAGGATCTTTCCTCTAACCCCACCCTCCAGCTTTCTCCACCTCCAATCAGCTCCACCTTCTAGAGGGATGTGCTGGAAGCCTTCCTCCGGCCCCTCTTGCCCTCACTACTGTCAATCTCCAGATCCCATACCACCCCCTTGGTCCCCTGAATCTCTCTGCTCCATCCCTTCTTCTCTTTCTATTGGCATGATCCCAGCACAGGCCCTGACTTCTTCCTCTGCCCCCTTGCCTAGCCTCCTCCCTCCAGCCCGTGGATCCCCAGATGGTCCTCAAGTCTTTCTAACCCCAGAGCTGCTCCCACCCCAGCCAACCCTCATAGCCCTCCCATGGCTCCCCAGCACCTGCCCTGAGAAGACAACCAAGTTCCTCATCCGAACATCCAGGTCCTGCATCACTTATAGCCACCCACTCCTTTTCCCCTCCAGCACTTACTCTTTGAACACCCCACCATTCTTCAGCCCATCTCTCCCCTCCCAGCCTTGGCCCAGACAGTTTCCTCTGCCTGGAATGTTCTGGCTCACTCCCCCACCCCCTCCCACCTAGCTAAACCACAACTTGTCCTTCAAGTCTCACCTTATTAGGAACCAAAATAATAATTACCCACTTATCATGGGTCGGGTACCATGCAAAATGCTTCTTAGGCATTATCGGCCAGAGCCCCTTCTAAACGCTCTGTGAGCTGAGTGTTTATGAGCCAGGATACTGTGGCTCGGAGACGTCAAGGGACCTGCTGGAGGATGCCCAGGCAGGGGGAAGAGCTTAGTCTGTGACGGCCAGGCTGCTCACTCCTCCTGAGAGCTTCCCCCACCACCCCATGCTAATGATAATGGTCATAATACACAGTGAGCATTTTCTGCACGTCAGGTATGGTTCTGAAGGTGCTATTGTAATTATCCCATGGGGTAGGTTTTGTAGCTTTAAATTGTCAACAAATGCCACACTTCTTCTATTAAGAAATAGGGCCTATGCCCCATTTCCTTGGATCTGGGTGGGCTCTGGGACTGTTGTACCAAGAGGGTACAGCACAAGTGGCCCTGTGTGTTTCTGTATCTAGGCCTTGAGAGACTGGCACTGTCCACTGTCTGTACTGTGGGGCACTCCCTCTTGGGAGCCAGCTGCCATGCTGAGAGGAAGCTCAATCACCCCCACGGAGAGGTATCATGGCCCTTGGCCAACAGCCAGCTCAAGTCAACAGCCCCAGCCAGCTTGCCAGGCACGTGACTGGGGCATCTTGGACTTCCCATTAGAGCCATCCAAAGAGATGCTGCGTGGAGAAGAGGCAAGCTGTCCCTGCCAAACCCTGCCTAAACTTCAGATTTATGAGCAAAGTAATTGTAGGTAAAACTAATTATGCCATCAAGTTTTAGAGAGGTTTGTTACACTGTGATGGGTTTCCCTGGTGTCTCAGTGGCAAAGAATCTGCCTGCAATGCAGGAGACCTGAGTTCAATCCCTGGGTCGAGATCCCCTGGAGGAGGGCATGGTAACCCACTCTAGTATTATTGCCTGGGAAATCCCATGGACAGAGGAGCCTGGCAGGCTACAGTCCATGGGGTTGCAAAGAGTCAGACAATACTGAAGTGACTTAGCATGCATCTTATGCCGTGACAAACAAGCAGAAAACAGGTATCATTACTGACTCCACTTGATGGAGCAAGAAGCCCAGGCTCAGAGAATAGGAGCCTGCCAAAGGTCCTCCCAGAGCCAGGGACTGGCCAGGCTGGGAGCTGAACCTGGGTTAACCAGGCCCTTAACCACCATACCAAGCTCTTCCTGTTTCAATCGTCCACATGAGGAAACTGAACATCAGAGACAGGAAGGAACTCGCTCAAAATCTCACAACTGTTAAGTATGAGAGTGAGGCTCTAAAATCACTGTCTCTTGACTCCAGGATGCAGCTCTTCATCCCCACCCTAGGTTTGGATTATCTGTTGCTTATTTGTCTGCCCACCCAGGACCAGAGCTTCCAGCCTCATTCCCTCTTGTGTCCCAAGTCTCAGCAAAGGCCAGGCACCCATGTCTGTCCCTCCTTCAACACGGAAGTTTCTCACAGGCAAGGACCTGATATGACTCACCTGGGTCCCCAGTGTCGCTCAGCACAGGACCTGGCACATGGGAGACTTGAGTAAATGTTCTTTGAATGAATGAATGGATTCCTGGGGAATGAGTTAATAGAGACAGACGTAGGAAGAGTCATGGTTTTATTGCTGGGTTTCAGGAAAGGGGCTCAGATGCGCCCAATCTCTTTCAGTTTGGCCACCAGGTCCTCTGTGGTCTCCACCTTGACGCCAGCCGTGCGCTGGGGCGGGTCTTCCACACTAATCACGGAGATCTTGGAGGTCAGGTCCACGCCCAGGTCCCCTGCCTTGATCACCTCGATCTTCTTCTTCTTGGCTTTCTGCACTCGAGAGGCCATGGTTTCACAGGGCTGCTCCAGCCCCTGCCCACCCTCTTGCAGCCCCCTTCCATGGGTGCCACACCTGCAGAAACACTCTCACTGGCCGAACCCTTCTGGATCTGCCCACTGGCCAGGGCACAGGGCCACACTTGGTGTGGACAATTCCTGCTGGCTGGGATACCCTGAGGAGCCCTCCTATTGTGGAAGTCCCCCTTTAGTCAACCATGGTGGGAAGGCTGGAAAGGGCTGGAAAAGTCATCCTCTGGCAATAATAACTCAATGGACCTTTGGCCAAGATGACCAATTGCACTCTCCTTGCTGGCTGAGATGACTCAGTGAACCCTCCCTGTTAGATGAAATGACCCACTAAAAACTCCCTATTGGCTGGGATGACACATTAAAATCCTATTGGCTGAGATGATTCACTGAACCCTCCCTATTGGCTGGGATGACACATTAATATCTTCCTATTGGCTGAGATAACTCACTGAATTCACCTATTGGCTATGCTGACTCAATGAACCTTCCTTGTTGGATAGATGACAAACTGAATGCTCCCTATTACTTGAAATGACATGCTAAATTCTCCAGTTTGGCTGAGAAAACACAATGAACTCTCCCTATTGGCTGAGATGCTTCATTGAACGCACCCTATTGGCTGACATGGCCCACGATGTTCTTCCTATTGGCTGAGATGACACACTAAACCCTCCCTATTGGCTGAGATGATACACAGAACTCTTCCTATTGGCTGAGATGACAGAATGAACCCATTCTAGAATCTAGATGAACAGTGAATCCATCATGTTTGCCAAGAGATCCCATGAACTCTTCCTAGTTAGTCACGATGGCCTAAATGATTCCTTCCTGTTGGTAATGATTACCAGCAGAACCCTCCCTGATGAACCAAGATGATCTAACTGGCTAAGATTACACAATGAACTTTTCCCATAAGTTGGAATGATGGGTAACCCTTCCTATTGTCCAGTGAAGCCTTTCTGTTGGCTGAGGTGACCAGAAAACCTGCCCTGTTCACCAAAACAACACCCTCTCCCGGAACTCTCACTGTTGGCAGAAATGATTCAGTGAACCCTCTGTCAGCCCGACTCACCAGGTGGCCCCTTCCTTTGGAGATGTCCTTGGGTCTTCTCTCCTCCCACCTGACCACCAGGAAGGCATGGGGCCTGCAGCACCCACCCCTTCCCAGCCCCCAAGTGGCCCCTCTGCCAAGTACTCACCATGATATTGGGCAACGTTGCATAGCGGGGCTCGTTGAGCCGCAGGTCAGCAGTCACCACAGCAGGCAACTTCAGGCGCAGAGTCTCCAGGCCTCCATCAATCTCCCGCTCCACTTTGATCTTGTCCCCTTCCAGTGTCACCTGGGAGGCGAATGTGCCCTGGGGAGAGACAGCGTGGGGGAACACAGGGGAGGTTAACTAAGGAAGTCACAGAGAGGGATCTCAAAAATCCAGGGCAGGGTGTCTTTCTTGGGACCCAGGGTACAGTTCCTAATATCCTAAACCTACCCACTGGATCTCCCTTTCTTAATGACAATGAACATGTATTGAGTATGGGGCACTGTTCCAAGTGATTGAAATGTATTAAGTCATCAGATCGTCTTAGGGACTCTACGAGGTAAGTGCTATTATCCCACTTTACAGATGAGGAAAACTGAGGCAGAGAGAGGCTCAAAAACATGTCCAGGCTGGTTCAAGGCTCATGTCATGGTCTCATTTACCCATCTTTCTGTCCCCAAGAGCTCCTTTCAGACCTCCTGACAACAGAACCTCATGTGTACCTTGATCCTCAAAACATCCTCTGGGGCCCCGCCTTCTTCACATAGCACACACCCCCTGGCCCAAGGCTCTTGGGTCCTTTGGTCCTGAATCACCATTTCCAGATGTGACCCACACCCTCTGTCTAACCAATCTGTTCTCTCTATTGTGTCACTTATTCACTAGACAAATCTTTCAGGTCTCACCTGGAATGTCCCATGAGCCTGCTCTTGAAGATACACCATGAACACAACTGATAAGGTTCTGACTTTGGGGGCATTTATCCTGCAGTGAAGACCACCAGTAACCAAGTAAACACACAGTGGCCACTGGTCACATGTGGCTTCTGAGCACGTGAAATGTGGTTAGTTCCACTGAGGTGTGGATGGAATTTTTCATTTTATTTAGTTAATTTAAATTTTAAAACCAATAAGCAAGATCCATTACCATAACTGTGGTGATGGTTTCACGGGTGTATAATATATGTGTAACACGTATCAAAGTTCACTTAACTGAACACTTTATATATGTGCAGTTTATTGTACAGGTCAGTTTTATCTCAATAATGTCGCTGAAAATAAGGATATTTGATGGTTATTTAAGCCTGTTTGGAACAACTTGGGCATGTGAATCTACTTTTTCAATAATAAGTTTTAGGAATCTAAATATTTCTGATAGAAACTGAGCATCTGAATTGAAATACTCTGTAAATATAAAATACACACTGGATTTTCAAAAACTTCATACCAAAAACCAAAAATGTACCCAATATTTTTTCTCTGTGACATGTTGAAATAATATTTTTGATATATTATGTGAAATAAAATAAGATTGAAATAAATTTGGCCTCTTTTACTTTTTGAATGTGGCTGTGAAAAATTTTAAATGACTCCTGTCATTTGCATTTCTATTAGGCGGGAATGGGACTCATGGGGTTGGAGAGGGAGCATATCTCATAGATGGTGGGCAAGATAGGCCTCTCTGAAGAGGTGAAACCTGAGGAGAAACCTGGAGGTGAGTGAAAAGCCCTGAGGCGATCTGAGAGAACCTTGTTCCAGGCTGAGGGAACAGCAAGTACAAAGGCCCTGGGGCAGGGCTGAGTTGGATGTGGCTGAGGAGCAGCAGGATGGGGAAGGGGCACGTGAAGGCCCAGAGGAGGCCTGGAGTCTTGCCTGTCGACCCCACTTCTGCCCACTGGAGCAGGCGTCCAGCTTCACACCTGCCTCCCTCCAGAAGGGAAGAGATGGGGTGGCTGTGTTCTGAGCCCCCAGGCCTTCAGCAGATGGTCCCCACTCTGGCCTTACCTGTGGCCAGTCCAGAAATCCGGCTGTCATCTGCCCTGTCTGGTTACAGTCATCATCGATGGCCTGAGTGGAGAAGAGAGAAGATTGTACAATGATGGGGTTTCTCAGGAACCATTTGGGCTTTTGTTTTGGAAAGGAGGCTGGCAGACGTTTCTATAACAGGCCAGGTAGAAAATATAAACTCTCTCACGATCACTCAGCTTTGCTCCTATAGAGCACAAACAGCCATAGATAATAGGTGTCTACATGAACAAATGTGGTAGCATTTCAGTAAAACTTTATAAAATCAGTGGTGGCCATGGACCAATTTGCTGACTCCTGGTCCAAAATGACCCCATGCCCTCACTTAGGCCCCGAGAGAGGCAGTCACTTGTTGAGGAGCACACAAGGGGCCCTGGTATCCCTGATGCAAAGTCTTTGCCCCTTCTCTAAATATTCCAGCGGTGTCGCTCTAGGCACACAGGTTCTGGTTGCACAGAGGAACCACATGAATGGCATCTGGGCCAGTGGGAACACCTTATCTCTGACCCCAGTGATTAGTTCAAGGATGGGCACATTACTCTAGCTGGACCAATGAAGAGTCAGCTGTGAAAGTTCTGCTGGAGTCCTTGGGATAGAGGTTCCTGTCTTTCTGCTGGGGTTCTCAGGCTGCTGGGATGTGAGCCTGCAGCTACAGAGAGTAAAGCCAAGACAGAGTTACAGAGTGTACAGCATGTGGGACCTGGATCAAGCTGTGCCTGAAGCTTCCTTACATGAACTAATAAGTTTGTTTTTTCGCCTCAGTCAGTTTGAATCATGATTCTGCCACCTACCTGCTTTCCCAGCAGCACCAGGTCCACCTTCTCCTTCTCTGCCAGCTTGGCCAGGACCCGAGCCACCTGCAGGGGCCCCAAGTGATTTGCTTCTGCAGCTGGCACCTCCATGTGGATGCCCCGGTCTGCACCCATGGCCAGAGCAGTGCGGATTGTCTCCTGCCAGGCAAAGAAGAGGCTTGACTGGGCTTCTAGCCCGTGGGGGGACCCAGGAGTGCAGACCCCCAGCCCCCTTCTCCCTCAGACCCAGGGGTCCAGGCCCCAGCCCCTCCTCCCTCAGATCCAGGACTTGGGGCTCCACCCCTTCCCAGGCCCCCAGGCACCTGGCACTGGGCAGGCCCACAGCTGACGGCAATGATCTCCTTCACAAGCTTCTTCTCCTTGAGCCGCACGGCCTCCTCCACGGCGATCTCACAGAAGGGGTTCATGGAATGCTTCACGCCATCCGTGACCACACCCGTCTTATCGGGCTTCACCCGGATCTGCTCAGCCAGGAGAGGAAGGGGCAGGGTCAGCGGGAAGCAGATGAGGAGGCAGGGGCTGAGACACCAAGCTCCACCCAGGCTGGATGGGGATGACATGCGTGCGTGCTAAGTCGCTTCGGTCCTGTCCAACTCTTTGCGACTCTATGGCCTGTAGCCCGCCAGGCTCCTTTGTCCGTGGGATTCTCCAGGCAAGAATACTGAAGTGGGTTGCTGTTTCCTTCTCCAGGAGATCCTCCCGATCTAGGGATTGAACCTGTGTCTCCTGTTTGGCAGGCGGATTCTCTACCCCGAGCCACCAGGGAAGCCCCCGAATGGAAGAAACTGTCCCACAGTCACGTGGTCAGTTGGCAGTGCCCTGGGCCCCAAGCACTCTAGTCTCCTTTGGTACCACCTGACGAATCCTGGAGGAGGAGTCAGGGAGCT